GGCGTGCTGAAAAACCAGCAGGTTCGCCCACACGCCCACACGCCCACAGACGTCATCATCCTCACAACAATATTTGCGATAAAGCACGGAACGAGAACCCGTTGCGTCTCGTTACGATACACGAATCTGAGAGTACGGTCATATGATCCCATATGATTGCTACAATCAGTTTAATAACATCTATAAACAGAGGCCTAGAATTCTTATTACTACTGGTATTCGCTATCGTTTGTTTGACGGGTAACATGTACCAAGGGAATTAAAATACATATTTACAAACTTAAAGTTGCAATGATGTCATTCTACTCGAAAGGCAATGGATTGGTAGATCAACAGACACGTAAGTGGATAGACACATATATAATGTATATAAAGAGCCATAAAGTAGTCGTCATGCAGTTTGTAGGTGCAAAGACTGTGTTTGCACGGAGAGACACAGAATCAAAGGCAGAGAGAAGAGTAGAGTGTTACGCGGGTCTGCCTAACGACAGGAGCAAACAGGCACGACTTAGTAGCGGCAACGAGGTCGTAGCCATGCGTGCAGATCATCAGAACACAATAATTGTGTAATGACTCACTTGAACATCTTCTGAAGAGCACAGCTTACATATCCGACGTTCGAAAATCTTAAATTCATTTCCTTCATCCCACGCGTTTCGTATGTTCTGTAGACATGCGTCATCTTCTATCGGAAGGTCCAAACTATTTTATAATAACTCATGCCGATGTCTTAAGCGTTGTTTGTGCGTGATTAAACATTCATCAGATAGTCCACACGCGCACTAAATTTATTACGTTAATTTTGATCTCCTGTTTTACTTATACGTTTATCTTGTCTTGTATCTGAGTTATGTCTAAATGCGACGTGTCTCATTTCATACGTCGCCAATTAAATCAAAGTTATTGGATGTTTGTACAAGCAGTACAATGAATTCCAAAATAAGAAAGAAAAACACGAGATTCCCATCCAGCGTGGTCTATTTAAAGCGAACGAAACTCGTGCATCACCTGGGGGTTCGATTGTGCGGGAAATTGGCTCCAATTCTGGCCGGTAGCGCCGAAGACCGAAGATGGGAGTACGAATATTTCATCTCTGAGTAGGAAGGATTCGAGGGGGGAGGCGGGAAGCTGTGAAGACACGCGGCGACCGAACTGGATTCTTCACCGCAGCAGTCGCCAGCCAACCTACACGGGATTTGGCGACGAGGCGGTACAGCCTCGACAAGAACACTGTAAACAGTACACTAACTCCACGGTCAAAGGTCCTTCTTAGAAAGTGACAGGAGATCGCACAAACGAAATTCAATCTCTTCTGCCCCAGGAAGGATTTTCTTTGTCTCTGGTATCGCCAATGTTCGTTACAGTGACACCGTTCAACAGCTTTAGTGTCTAATACGTCGTGTTTTAAAACGATCCGAAAAGTAAGTGACAGGAAAGTGAAGCCTTGCACGTTATGAATTGATAATATTAAAACGGACCTTAATGGCAAGGCCAATGAGACTTAGAAACCAGCGTAAGTGTAATCAGGAATTTTAGAGAAATTAATTTATACAAAACAAAAGTTAAACGAATGAACATTTTGTTAGGAACAAACATCAGGCATCTTCGTTTGTTAACTTAACTGGATGTTATGCAACCATCAATGTACGCAATTATTTACTTCCGGTTAGTGCGTCTGTGGAATTTTTCTGCGTTCGTTTCGTTTGTAATAGTTTTTACATTTGAACGGAATCACCACGCCCTTCAAAGTGACTTTGCAATTCGGCTTCGTTTCTCTCATGTTTTAATGCATTAAAACGCCATTATCGAGTTCACTTTCGAACTTTGTAAACACAAAACTAATAACAATGGAATCACGAATTCGAATCTCGCTTCTGGCACAGCGATGAGCCGATCTCCCACGCCAGGTAACAATTACCAAATGTCAGATTAATTCTTTTGAATCGTTCATAATTTCATAATTAACTCTCAATCAGGATTGTTCACAGGGCCCATTTCGCGAAAGCAGCGGACGACGAGACACACCCACATTCATTTTGCCTTAAAATATTTATCTGCAAAAAGTAAAAGGCAGCCAAACCCTTGTGTGCTTATTTCCACTGTGAGAAAACATTTATTGAGAATATTCATGAGCTAAATGGGGTATTTAACAAAGCTGTACCAACTGATTTCAAGGTCACTTTGCGGCATTAAGACCTGCGGAAGGTGAGGGACAGCGTCAATGTTTATTTATTTATTTAGTGTTCTGTCTGACGACAGGTCCATATGAACAGGATCCTTCCATCCTTTTCTCGGACTGGGACCTGATCATATACGTTCTTGGCAGATGATCCAGAAGTGGTTTGCCATTGCCTTCTTCTGTGTGTGAATGGAGTAATTGTTGGGATGCCACGGAGGAAAACTCCGTGTTGCCTAGACCACGGCCTTCTTACTGTCAGATTTGTTAAATGTAACACTGGAATCCAAAGTCGCACGTTTCATAAGCTACATTGTGCGTTCCACTTACAATGACAATGTATCGGCTACTGAATACCTTACTGTAATGGCGCATTGCTGCTATCTTGCTCCGTAAATGTAGTTAGCTATTATAGTAACAGGGTTACAGGCGACTTGGTGTCGATTACAAGGAACCCATCAGAATGTTATGCCGTAATAACAGCATCGTTAGTGTTTAAGGAACGGCAAAGTTTCAAAGCGAATATTACCATAAACAAATCACACCGAACGGAATTTAAATTCACAAAACATGGAAGAACAAATTCACCGAATACTTGCGACGTCTGTCGTCATACTGCGCAGGGCTGTGACTGGCTGCATCCCAATTTTGAGACCCGGGTTCGTTTCCACCTCGACACTGACTGCGAGAAGTTGGTCCTTGCATTCACCGTCACGTCACGTCGGTTCGCCCACACATGCAATGAATGAACTAATTCTTTTCCCTGTCTCATATTAGGGGATGTGAGCAGATTTAGGACGTTTAAGAACTGGGTGTTCATCTAAGAGGGACGAAGTGACGGAGATCTGGAAGGAACGGATTAATGAAAAATGAGTGGAAAAGTTCAGTTGGAAAGCCTGAAGGGAAGGCACTACTTGGAAGACGTAGGCGTGGATAGAAGGATAATATTAAAATGCACCTTAAGGAATTACGATGGGAGGGTGTTGACTGGGTTTGCCTGACTCAGTCAGGGGCTGGCGACGGGTTACTTTAAACATGGCAATAAACAAACCGGTTCCATAAAAGACGGGTTATTCTTTTGACTGGTTAAGCGACTGTAAGTTTCTCAAGAAGAACTCTGCTCCATGGTCTGGTACTAATGTGTCACGTGAGAAGAAGAATAAATCTGTTTTAATAACATTTTAATAAAATAAAAACGCGTGCTAGCTTCGTCGTTAGGTCAACGCCGACAACGGTTAGTCCACTGGAAAAGCTTGAGTTCGTTAACGATGTCTGCCTTCCTGGATGTTGCGCCGTGTAGTCTAGCAGGGAGTTACTGACGTTTCAGAGGTGATTACTGCCTCCACCTCTGAATCTAAGAAACGTCGGTCAGTTTCAACCGGAACACAGACATCTTCATACTCGGAGTCGTGAGAAACTGAAGTCTGAACACGTAAGGAGATTAAATGTTATGAGAACGTCACAGTGTAACGCGCCTGACTCTTGTTCGGCACGTACGAGGTTCAAATCTAGGCTAAGGTATCGGACATATTTTTTTTCGTGCAGATCCACGGTCGGTGGACACTAATTGCAACTGGCCACTACAGCTTCACAAACACGTCTTATTAAATTCTACGATACATAACCTGTCTACTCGAAATTCCGTCGTTAAATAACCTGCGACCGAGAAATGAATGTTCCTCGGCTATCAAACAGTCGCCGATTCCAATTTGGAATACCCCGAGTTCGACTCGCGACATACGCTGGCGGTCCTTTGAAGGTGAAGCCACACGCGAAGTCTGAATCGACGTTTTCAGAAAGTCTGATTTTCAGCTTCAAGTGACATCTGCGCGTTCTTCTGTGTCCCTGTCACAGAAGAACACGCAGACAATTCGAATACTTATCACGCCTGTCAAACTAAACTTTGTTTGGTATGCAAACTGCAGGACGCCTTTTCACGAAGAATCCGCCCGTGACATTTCTCAGCGACGGCAAGAAACATCGTGCCACTGAATCATTCCTAACACGTAAGGTTTTACGACCCCATAATCGAAAGAAACACAACGGTGATGGTACAGTAACAAGAGGTCACTGGTATTTGTTAAGGGTAAGATTTCATAGTGAAATAGAAGTTGTGTATCAATGTGCAGTGATTTGGCAACAAGTGACAAGCATTATACACACACTTAATTTTGCCCTCAACAAGATACGAACCTACGATTTTACTAATCAACTATCCCCATGTAATCTTTAACTCGGTCTTCCAAGATGCCGCTTTTCAAAATCTTTCCGTGACAAACTTGAGTTCTCACTTAATTTCTCCTTATTCGATCTACAAGCCCAGCCCACTGCAACATATTTCCTCCAACAATTTCATCAATGCATGAAGAACTAATTCATGAAGTTCCTCGTAGTGTAATTTTCTCGATTCTCGCCTAATTTTAACAGTATCTTTGGCAAAGATGAAACTTATTACGCATTTGGATGCCATCAGGATTTTCATTGTTTCAAAATAGCAGTTCTTTGTGAATTCAATTCGAAATGTACTCGCTTATTCCCGCGGCATTTCAGTCTGTTTTACCACATTTTTCCCCCAATACAGCGACTTTAAAAATTCGAGAAGTGGCAATATGACGTATCACAGACGTACCGGAGTAAAACCTCGGCAAGCAGACGAGCTATGACGACGGTTGTTTCTGACCGGGGAAGATCCTGGATGGGTGTCTAGGGCCGCTTATTTCCCGTCGATCGGCGTTCTCCTACGATTCCTACGACGCACTCCCAGGCTCAGCAGATCTTCGGCAATCGCTTGTCCACACAAAATAGAACGAACATTGCGACTCACCGTTGCTGGTGGCGAAGCTGTCCAGTCCGTGCACCAGCGGCGCTGATCGTCGAATCTGTCCTTCCCCCTGTTTAGCGATCAAAGGTTTGTCCCGTCTTCTGTTCGTGTCAGCTTTCTTGGGCTGTCGGTCACTCAATGCCGACACACACACACACACACTTGTTTCTTCTCCAGCATCCAGCTCCAAGTCTGGAAAACACGAAGTCACGTGACCAGATCTGCCTTGGCTACGTCACACAATTCGCAGTCCCTCCTCTCCTCAGCGACTCTGAGCATGAATATGGCAACAAATTTCACTCCCTTTATGTCCAGATGCCTGACCACAGAGGAGTGGGGAGTCTTATCGCAAGCTTGTTCATGGAATCAAATTATATTCCATTCATTATTCTTGGAAAACACAACTGACCTTCTATCTACATTAATAACTATTACACGATAATTAATTCCATTAACTGCGTGCCAAATAGGTCTCCTTCCGAAAGGATATTCAGGGCGCAGACATAGGAGA